CAAAGGAAAATATCTGTTGATATATATTTAATCTGGCTGCTTACAGTTTTAAAGAAATGAGGAACTGCCAGAATGTTTTTTGCAATTCAGGATTTAAAGAGTGTATTTATTAAATCCCATTCAGCAGCATTCGGTTTCTCTAGATGGCTATCTGACGTCGGACATGAGAAGACTATAAATATTTTGGGCTAGAAATTTTTAAAAAACTTTGCATCATTTAAGATGAATGAAAATAACGTAGGAATGCAAAGATGACGCGCTCAACTCGAAGTGAATTGCAGTTGGACAATAACATTTTTTGAGAGGAAACCTTTAAGCCATCTTATTTCTACGAGTATGTTTTCGCATACATAACCTATACGAAAAATCTGATCAAACAAGAAAGCATAATTTCTTTTGGAATCCAGTCCTGGTCATGCTTAGGACTTCTCAACACTGTCTAGTTTAAGCTTACTGACTTTGTAATAAGGATTGACAAACGTATAAAGGAACGATAGCTAGGATTAAACAGTGAAATGTTTTATGTAGGTCAGGTAAAGCGAACGTGGTCATATTAATTAGAGTTTACAACTAGACGTAATTAGTGCAGTAGTTAAAGCCAGTCCTGTGGAAAATCGATCTAGAATGAAAAGTTTAAGTCTATACACATTGTTACACAAAATATAAGATAGATGACGGACATTTATTAGATAGATAGATAGATAGATAGATAGATAGATAGATAGATAGATAGATAGATAGATGCACATTTTATAACTGAGGATTTGTTTATAGAAACCGATATATGATTTTGTATAATTTTGAATGTAATTAAACCAAATCTAGATAAATTTATAAAGGTATTTTATTCACTATATACCATCACTACGTCGAAGTTACAAGACAACAATAATATATTCGAAATATTAAGTATCATTTCATACATAGAGTGTTTGCCTTTATTCCATTCTTTGTCTGAGGATACTGGTCTACGGATAAATTATATCTAAGAAACATGATCATTGACAAAAGAAATGAGCAAAGACGAACAGTCACTCAGAAATCGATGTAACGAAGCGCCCTCGATATATTTTCAGTGAGAATATGCCGTATGCGTACGAGAAATGTTAGAATAAAAAAACAAAACGAAAAAAACAACGTCTTTTTTAAAATACTATTGCATTTCACAATATCGGTCAGGCGCGTAACATTAATGGTAATGGTCATATTGTTGCGGGCACGGTAGCATGCATTGCTGGTTTATTAAAAGGTGGCCTTTTGCCAGACACTACTTATGACTACCGAATCCACAAACAAAGTAAATATTAAATGAGTGATCTTTAGTGAGGAAAAAGAGTCATTCAACAAGTGAATAGAAATAATACAAAGTAGATAGACAGGAGGAAACGACAAAACGAGTCTGGTTGAAAACATATATGAAATTTTATTTTAATAACAAATAATCTTGTCTCACCAGTGGAGACTATCAGAAAAAGTTAGGTCTGTTTTTAGCCTGTAGGCAGTTAGTAATACGTAGTAATTAGTAGAATTATAAAGTTCCGCGCCAAAGCGAAAAAACCAAGATGGCTAAGGCGGGAAAAGTTTCTTCAGAATGAAAGTTCTGGAATATTGTCTTTTTGTACGAAATGTGTAAGCATACACAACAAGGAAAAATACTCATTGCGAGGTTTAATAATGTGTGTGTAATGCTATCCTTTTTTTTAAACTGGTTCGTAAAGGTTAAAATACAAAAGAGGTGTATGAAAAGTTCATCAATCTTCAGTGAAGAAAAATTCTGAGTTGTTCGCATCAAGACGAGGAAATTAGTCTTGGAAAGGTGTGAGGGCGACCGTGTTGTAGAACTCTGGTAGTGAACACAGGAAAGTTCGAAAGTTGTTCGCATCAAGACGAGGAATTGGTCTTGGAAATGTGTGGTGACGACAGTGTCGTAGAACTCTGGTAGTGAAAAGAGGAAAAGTTCGAACAAGCTGCTCGCATCAAGACGAGGAATTGGTCTTGGAAAAATATATTGACGACAGTGTCGTAGTCTCTACATTTTCTAGCTGAAAACGGAGGAAAGTTCAACATGTTGTTCGCATCAAGACGAGGATAAGTCTTGGAAAAGTGTGATGTCGACATGTTGAAGTTTTGGTTATTTCAGATATTCCGGCCCGCGTATGGGTTAGGGGCACGGAATAAATGAGTTGACCTTCTAGTTTGAAAATCAGGCCGCAACTGACTTGAAAACGCTGTTCGTCGGTGACGTAAGGAAACGCGCAGGAAAAATTTCAAATTCTGATCCTAGACGGTATCAGGAGTAGCCAGCAACATCCCTCACGTCAGCGTTTACTGTTATATCTAGCTGAACGTGACAGGAAGGGGTGCAAAAGGGTGGAACTCACAATTCCACAATATTAACCATTTCCTTTCGAGAAAACTTTCAGTATTTATTAACCAATCAGCCAGTACTACTATCGGTTGAAATTTATAAAATCTTACTCAGGACAGTAGGTTTCTCAAGTACAGTATCTGTTATCACTCTTTCCAATAATGATGGGAGTTTCATTCTTAATAGTTTCTCTGTAGTTATGTGAAATGCCAACATTTTCATTGTTATTGTTTTCTCTTTGAGTTACATGTGTTATCCATTTTAGCTGTTGATACTGTTGAAAGTCCTCAAGTTACGTAGTTTCTGTTATCTAGTACAATTCGTTGGTATTATGTAGCTCCAGTTCACATAGTTCAAAGAACAGAGGCTTTCACTAAGACCGACAGGCTTCACCCGTTCTAATTAATTATTACCAGTGATCTGAAATTAGGCGAAGTGCATGAAATCCATATACAAATCTCGAAGTGAGGAAACTACTTAAGTACATGACGAGTTTCTAGGTCAATGTTTTGGTTTTATTTACAATTTGCAGTTTGCGGCGTAACTACCTGTAAGTGTAGGCTATTCTATTTTCTTATATTTTATGAATTTCTTATAACTGATCCACATTCCGGAGTATTTCAAGTAGATATTATTTACGAATTACATATCCTGAATTTTATGATTGATTCAAGGTAGGTTTCATCACTGCTTACATTTGAAGTCCAAATTTTTATTTTTTTTGTTTTAGATATATCAATCTTTTACTTAGAAGACCTGAATGAAGAGGATGTTGATTTTCTGTTTATAATCTTTCATATCCGAGGAATGAATACCTACATGATCGGCATACCCCACTCATTATCATTAATTTCGCCTCGGAAGGAAAAGCAGGAACCTTTTTTTTCTATTTGTTAATGTGTTATGGAAGTACATAGCAAAAAGCAGATTGGTATCCATTAAACCATATGCATATATTAGGACAGATTAGTTTGAGGTTGAATTAAAAAGTAATGAGGAGGAGATCAGGCTATGATCGTATCAGATCAAAGAACATATTTATTTACAATGTTTCCTGTAAGGCAAAATCAAATATAGACTCAGGTTATGCACAAAGGAAAGGTGTTGAGTGAAAGTGGCACAGCTCTTCGTAGATGTATTTTGATAGAATTATAAACAAAGGCAAAACAATAGCAAAAAATATTGAAGTCGAAGTTGACGTTATATCTTGAGACGAATATTTAGTATGTATTTCTCAGTCTTCCACCTTCTTTTTTCTTGGGTATTGTTCATTCAAGATAAGTGTGATCACAATTTCCTATGGCTTATGTCTGTATACAATATTTGTCCCTTTACAAAGTTTCCGATGTACCACTTGCTAACGAGCTGCTGTTCTGCTGTTGTTAACAAACACATATTCTGTCTTCTTACAATTGGTGCTAAGACGTTTCTTCTAATTTTCTTTACTATCGTTTCTAGGATGCCATACAGTTTTCTTTCTGCCTCTAACATCTAAACCTTTATTATTTACATATATATTGTTATATATATATATATATATATATATATATATATATATATATATATATATATGTGTGTGTGTGTGTGTGTGTGTGTGTGTGTGTGTGTGTGTGTGTGTGTGTGTGTGTTGTCAACTTTGTGCCAACATTAATAAATTCCAAAACGACTTAGATGATCAGCGGGCTTCATCATTTCAACAATTTGTTCAGACCAATCAACTTTCTATCATTTGATATTTCACTGTTGTAATATAATTTTCAAGCGGTGGAAATTAATGACTAAACATATTGCATTTTTCTGACCCGAAGAAACCGGAACAATTTTGGTGTATACGGGCCACATGTCGTCCTATGCTAAGTTTATCAAATATCAGATGTATGATCCTTTTTTGCTTAGGTCTACATTTTGTTTACAAATGGTGAATGACATGAATCTGATATTCGGTAGAAAATTAACAGTTTGATTCCTCTCAGAGAAGAAGATGAAAAGCATTTTTTATCAGAAAAACGTCAGAGATGTTCTTCATATTAACTTACGTTTAGTTCTTTTATTAAAAAACACAAATTGTCAAATGGTATTTTCTGATTGCATGGAAAGATTTGTGAAAAATATTCCCCAAAATAATGTAGGCAGAAAGATAAAGAAACAATGAGTGTGTTGAGAAATTAAATTAAACAGGAGAATATATATATCTGAGTGCTTACAGACATATGCACATGTATGTCTGTCTGTCTGTCTGTCTGTCTATCTATCTATCTATCTATATATATATATATATATATATATATATATGTGTGTGTGTGTGTGTGTGTGTGATTGTATGTATGTGTGTTTGTTTGTATAAAATGAAAATCCCCACCCAAAGAAAAAATCAGAATAGAAGCGAAGGAATGTTTGTATATAAAATTAAGTATAAGATGATCTTCGGAATTCCATATCCAAAAAAGAAGTGAGAAAGAGTAAAGAAAAAAAAGTGAAAATTTATGAGAAGTTACAAAAATGGAAACAGGGTGTTAAACTATTGAATGCTTTAGGAATGGAAACAAGAAAAAGAACTGAAATAAAAAAAAAGAAATATTTAAAATGTCTTACAAATGCTGAAGTAATGATCAATAACGAACTTAGTACAAAGCTATAAAGAAAGAAGAAAGCAACGGAAAGTAGAAGCTGGTTGTCCAAAAGGCAAGAAAAAGAAATTAGATGTTCTAAGAAAAATAGAAGAAACAGAAATTAAATTCCTGAAACAGGAAGCTTACAAAGAAAGAAAGAAAGAAAGAAAGAAAGAAAGAAAGAAAGAAAGAAAGAAAGAAAGAAAAAGGAAAGGAAAAAGAAAGAAAGAAAAAAGAAAGAAAGAAAGAAAGAGAGAAAGAATATGATAAAAATTAGACAAGAATAAAGGAAAAGAATGATGATGTAACATAGTGAATAAATGGTAGGGAAAAAAAGTAAAAAGAAAGAATTTTAAAATCCTTAATTTATATTTGGAGAAGAAAGAAATATAAACAAAACAGAATCATAAAAAAGTAAATGGTAAAGAAAGAGATTAATGGAAATTTGAAAGAAAGAAAGAAAGAAAGAAAGAAAGAAAGAAAGAAAGAAAGAAAGAATATAGTGTGGGAGTGGAGATGAGAGAAGTTTGTTTCAAAAAACAATTGCAAAGGCGGAACATCTTTGTACAAGAAGAGAATGGACGACAAGGAATAAAACGAGAAAAAAAAAGATTTATTCCTCGCGGGGAGATGTTGCTTATTTATAGTCGTTTTTATTTTCTCCGATTTATTCGCGTTTTTTCCTAAGGAAATCATTTTTTTTCCTCTCACACAGTTTTTTTTTAATGTTCTTTTTTTATTCTTTTACTTTACAATCACGACAGAAGAGTCGGGCGATTACTTGGTGGAATAAATGAGAATTTATGGGACCTTTTAATCCAGCCTTATGTGTGCAGTCGAATTTAACTCTACTAAATTAGGACAGGCGGCACATTGAGAGTCAGGAGCAAGGGCCAAAAACCTTGGAACAAATTTATTAGGCTCGATAGCGCCTGCCATTTATCTAATACCTGCACAATCGCTGTTTTCACCTTCAAATGCGGCACACACACAAACACACACACACGCTCAAACATATATATGTATGTATACAGGTATACATGTATAGACATAGGAAAGTGTGTATACGAATTTCGATTCCTTTAGGTACTAGGGAAATCCATTTATCTATGTGTGTATCTTTCAAGTTATGTACAAATTTGTATGAATGCTAGACAGGGGAGAATATGCATCTACATATATAGTTATTTCTATATTTGCATATATGCTAGTTTAATCCGAAACATTTATGCATAATTTGGCGGGGTAAATCGTACACAGAAAAACTGTTACATATATATATAGGTAAATTTCTATTTATTGAAGGACCAAAAGCGTCACAAGTAAGCTTTTTCCACTTCGTCGTATATATATATATATATATATATATATATATATATATATATATATATATATAGTTGTATATTTAGGCAGCAATCCTTCCTTTATGCATGTTTCATTAAAAACGACAGACAAGGTACTACGGTTGAGCTTTTTATTTAATTTTTCTTGTGTTCTGACAAGAGTTTTCTTTTCTGGACAAAGGGTGTGTAAGAACTGTCCGAATGTTCTATATTTCCGAGCGATTTCGGCTATAACTTTAGCCATTATCAAAGATGATTCGATTATCAGCTTAGTAGAGTGTGTGTGTTCTGTTTATGTTCAGTGTGTGGTAGTGATGTTTTCAATTTCCGTATACGGTTAGCACACTGTGGCTTTGTTCATAGAAAACACAAATATATTAACTGCATCCACTTGCAAAAAAAGTCTAAAAATACTGGAAGCTCTAATAATAAAAAAGAAAAAGCCAACTCTTAACAATATTAACTATGAACAAAGCCACAGTGTGCTAACCGTATTCGGAAACTAAAAACATCACTACCACACACTGAACATACACAGAACACACACACTCTACTAAGCTGATAATCGAATCACCCTTGATAATGGCTAAAGGTATAGCCGAAAGCGCTCGGAAATATAGAACATTCGGACAGTTCTTACACACCCTTTGTCCAGAAAAGAAAGCTCATGTCAGAACACAAGAAAAATTAAATAAAAAGCTCAACCGTAGTACCTTGTCTGTCGTTTTTAATGAAACATGCATACATATATATATATATATATATATATATATATATATATATATATATATATATATATATATATATATATATATATACCGCACCAAATACTTTATTAAAAGTATAATTATACATGAAAATTTTATTAACTAATTATTTGTTATATGTACTTTTCAAAATGTCCTTCTTTCTTTTTCTATATTTCAATTTTGTGTCTTTACAATCCATTAGAACGTCGGAGAGTTTTCTGCTTTCATCCACATGGACACAAAGCCAGCTCGTTTATCCCGTGTTAAATTTTCAGCCATCTTTCTTGGTCAAAATTGTTTCTACAAAATAAATAAATAACAAAACAAATTAGACATTTAAAAGCATGATTGTAATACACAGAAAATATCCGTGAATGTGAACGGCTTATGCTAAAAATAAGCAGACATAATATTCGGAATTTATGTAATACTATATATATATATATATATATATATATATATATATATATATATAAGCAAATGAAAGCTCTAGAGAATTATTTTTCGATGCATTATTCATATTTATCTGTATCTCACTCATTTAAACCGTTATTTATCTTCTCTCTTTAAAACTTCTCACTGTTAAATTTTAATCCCTACCATCACATTTATATCTTCCAGTTCTTTCTTCTGTTACTCCTCTCTAGAGCTTTCATTTCATTCTCCCACTTCTCTCCCACTACCACACATACACTCTCAGTAAAATTTTATTTTTTATACCCGGAGTTATATTTTCGGATTTCTTTTTGAATTTGTTGGTCTGATGAATAGTATCGTGATTACGATTGCAACACAATAAATTATAACCATGGAATATTAGTGTTTGAGGCTTTTTATTATATTCCTTCTTTGTCCTGGGCATTGAGTGCTACCTAGATTCTATACACTTGGAAATGTATATATACATACATATATATATATATATATATATATATATATATATATATATATATATATATATATATATATGTGTGTGTGTGTGTTTGTATTGACCACTATTATATATATATATATATATATATATATATATATATATATATATATATATATATATATATATATTCTAAAGCATTAATTTACGTCTTTTTAATACGACATATTTTTATTACATCAAACTTTTTTATCGATATTTGTGTTTGAATAGTTGCTGCATGTGGTTTAATTCATTTGTATTGCTGGAGGTTGAAAGGAGAGAATATGAATTCTTTAACTCTTTGTTTTGACGTCCAAAACAGTTAACGCGTAGAATTTAAAATTTTGTCACTTCGTTTTTGTTGGCAACGCCAGATACCATTTCCTGACAAGGGAGGTAACTGTGGATTACCCTAAATCCATCATTTTTTTATGTACTTTCAATATGAAAGTCTATCAGAATATCTATCCTTGCGATCATATCTGAAGTAAAACGATGGACTGGTACCATTAGCAATCGGATTTTCAATTTCAATTATTTAGGCTTTGTTTTGAGCCCTTATTCTCCAAGTAAATGACATCTGAATCAGGTCTTGATTGACGCCGCAGTTTATTATTTTTGTAAATGTTGTCTTTCGAGTCCTTCATTTTAAACGAAAGCTATTTCGTCGTTAAATTCAACTGTCTGTCTTAATTAGAATATACCTTGGTGAAGCAGTTTTTACAACTACTGCTGGTGAAGTTTTTGATGTTTTAACCCATGCAAGTTTTCCTTAGGTAAGATTAAGTCGAACCATTGTTCGATGTCTTGAATGGAAATCTGTCTTTTGTCTGTCTAATATTTGTATGATTTCAGCTCAGACAAAGTTATTGTTCTGGAGAAGACATCCAAAAATTGCTGGGATCTGAGTATGTAGATTCTTATTCATTAACAATACCGACGGATTAAAATCATTTTTCAACGTGTATTCCTCTAATTCAGACATGCTATGTACGGATGACTTACTTTTTTAAACAAATTCTCCACTCTTTGTACTGCCCGTTCAACTTTTCTTGTGGACAATATGGGCTACTAGTGAGGTGTGTGAAACCATAAACTTTTGAGAAATTTAAAAATTCATTTGAGCTAAATAGAGGGCCTATTATCAGATACTACTACATCTTAGAAACCTTGTCTTGTAAATATTGTCTTGCAGTGATCAGCCATTTTGACCGATGTGTTCTGTCTGACAGTTGACGAATTAAAAGATACTAATATCCCTTGAGTCCAAATAAATCCAAAGCGACTTTTGCCATTAGTATTCTGGTAACTTTGTGGGCTGAAGTGGCTTGTGTGGATAATGTCTGTCCTTTCCACAAATGGCACACACTTCTATCTTCTTTGCTTTGACACGATGGCCACCATACTGTATCTCTCGCTAGTGCGCAACACTTAACAATGCTATGATGTCATTCATGTAAACAGTTTTAAACTGTCTATAATTCTGCTGGAATTCTTGTTGAACTGATAAAACTTGGCGAACAAACTAATATAATTTGAGTTCGGGATCATTACTGGTTAAGAGTGACCAGTGGTCTACTTTTAAAAAAAAATTTGACCTGATTACAAACACCGACTGAAAACTGCTTTATTCTAATTTGTTGCAGAAATTGATTGCTTACCGAAATATTAAGTATTAGCGAATTAACAAACGAAGTTGTTTTAGATTCGATCTGTATAGTTAACTAGTTGGACTATTAATAGAAGACTGAGATAAAGTGTAAGATTTTTACTCAATCTTTTACTGGTATGTAAAGGGGAACGAAGAGAACCCTGTTAGTCTCATTCAAAACCTCTGGATCCTAGAGGACAGTTCATTTCATCCAGAAGTTCCTTTTTTAGAAGCATCAGTAGTGATTTGTGGTCCGTTTCTATAATAAACTTTAGTAACCCGACTAGGAATATGCAAACTTCTCGCAGTTCCAGGCAACAATTTCTTTTTCTAGTAAAGAATATTTTCGTAATAATGGGTCCAATAAACCTTATGCTACTGACAAAAAATATTTTCATTTAAACTGACTCCTGCCGACTTCATTTTTTTATAAACTATTCTTAGTCCGCTATCGTTTTCCTATTAGATCTTCTCACACATGAAGACATCATTAATATTATATATAACTACGAGTACTTGACACAATGTGAGACATTTCTCGGTAAAATAGCTCCGAGACGATTGTTATACCAAATGCTAAGCGCGTAAAAAAATATCTTACAAATGTTGTTAAAAATGGAGTCAGTCCTTGTGACTCTTTGTGGTGTTTTCTTTTTTTTGTTTTTGTTTTTTTTCTGTTTTTTTTTTTTTTTTTTTTTTACGAAAACCACTGTTGTCTAAATTACTAAAAATTGAAGCTTCAAGCTCTGCTAATATTTGGTCTACAGTGGGTAGAGGAAAATTATCTTTCTACACTATCGGTAGATTTCGTAAAGTCAACACACGGTCAGACCTACAAATAACTACTATAAAGCAATTATACTACTACTTAGTAATATACAGGAATTATATTTCAAAATAACTT